TAGGCAAATAGGCGTGTGCAGGAGGGAGGGGAGAGTTATGTGTGTGGGGACATTGACACTGTCTTTCATGTTTTGTACGAAGTTGGAACCAGTGAAGGAGTGGTTTAGTAGGGTTTTACGTATGGTGAATGGAGGTTGGATTAGGGTTTTAAGGGCGTTAGGCTTAGATGTTGGGGGGGGGGGGGGTGCCGGTGCAATTTGTGTATACATCATGGGTTTTCAGACATGTGTCAGTAAGGGAGAGAATCAGGGAACTGGCAGCGATATTTTATGGGACACAACAGAGGAATAAGGACATCACTGGGAACAGATGGCATTTAACCTTTTCGGAGGGATATCGTAGCTTCCGCGTCAGAGACTTATGGGCGTTGCAATCTTAAGGGGTATAATGAAGCTGGCTTCTTGAGGTATGCGTGGGCGTGAGTGATGCTTTTGATAAGTAAAGGTGTGGTGTAAGGTGTGAGGGAGGTGTGTGTCTTGGTGGCTGGGAACATTTCATGTATTGTGTTCAGTTTGGATCAACACATAAACCCGGTTGTGGGTGAGCGTATAATAGTGCTCTCTTTTAATCAGGTGTGTTTTCATGAATTGTTATATAAAAGAGTCGCTTATGTGATTGACTGATTGTATCATGTACCTTGAGGCATGCTGTCTCTGTGTCTCTAAGGAGAAAATATAATTGAATTGTGTCCTTGCACATTATTACGGTAAGCTCTTACCACATGATTATGGAAAACCATGTGAATGCATGATCCAAGTATATGTGGAGAACGGTATGTATGGCAGTATGGAAGGGGGGGGGGGCCAAACGCTGGTTCCCCTGGAAGGGATAACCAGGTGTTGGTCCTGGTGATCATGACATATGCTGGCTGTAGATACATGAAGCATGTTGGGTGCGCATGGAGTGCAGCAAGAGTACGGATTCCACTCACAAGGGCGTTGTGTGGGTAATGTGTAGGTAGGGACACAGTCATGTGCGTGTCCAAGCACTAGAGGTATAATTGTCTTGTACCGTAAGATGTAAAGGTCAGTTTTCCGGCGCTATGTGACACTTTGTTGGGCATCTGTTTATACTGATAGCTTTGATGTGAATATCGTCTTTATTATGTAATGAGTAAGGTACGCTGTTAGTGGCACTGTTATGATCAGGAAAACTTATGTGTATGGCATTTAGGGGGGTCAGGATGATGGACGTTTAATGATGAATTGTATACAACGGACCAATGTGTTGTAGGAGGGCTGCGTTAGCAGGGTCATTGAACCTCGTGAAGCAAAGGATGAATGTAGTCCAGGTATAACCATACATATTTGATGATATTTAAATTATTTATGGTATTTAAATTATTTATGTAGATGAAGGCCTGAGCTAGCTACCACCTGCAGCTCATAAGACTGCCATCTCCACGAGCCTCTTTGGGGCGGGGCAGATGGCAGACCAGAAGCCTAGCTTCTCCCTACGAGCCCCGTGAGGGCGGAGACTGTGGCTAGGCCTGGGGACACTTGGTCCCAAAGATGAGGGGGTACTTTTACCTCCTCCCATGGGAGACTTAAGTCTCGAGATACTCCCCAGATAGGGAGCCAAGGCCGGGTCACCACTACTTGGAAAAGACCCGGGCAGGGAGAATACCGGCGAATTAAAAAAAAATATTTATGTATTAATGTTTTGAAATTAAAATTTTTTGTCATAATGTTACAAGTATTGTACTACGCACTTAAGTGATGCATCATTATGGAAATAAATGGTATAAAATACCGACACAATGGAAATATAAACACATATGCAGTTTAATGTGGTCCTTTATTGACAACATTTCGCCCACACAGTGGGCTTTTTCAAGTCACAAACAGATCTACCTGGGGTGGAAGGTACGCGAGGTAGCTCTGTTTGTGGCCTGAAAAAGCCCACTGTGTGGGTGAAACGTTGTCAATAAAGGATCACATTAAACTGCATATGTGTTTATATTTCGATGTATCATTATGTATGGTTGTAAACAGTGGCTGTGTCACTGCCACGTATTATGTTCATGTGTTCGCTTTTGTATACCAGTTTAAATACAAGATGGGATTTTTTATATATATTTATTATGTTGTAATATGAAGTTTAAAAAAAAAAAAAGTAAGGTATAATTAATATTGGTAAGTTTGGGCATTACTTGTATATATAATGTCAGATGTTGACTGTGTTGTTTTGTGTTTATATATTGTGTTACAGATGTTGTCCTTGTTCATGTCATTATTAAATGAGTAGCTACCATTATATCTATAAACCCATGTGTACTTGTGAAGCAATGTACGTAGAAGTAGTGTGTACGTTGTGTTAAGATTGTTTAATGACCCTATGTACGTGCTTATTCAGTAGATTGTTTAGTGAATGTTTATTGGTCACCACCAGTGTCAGTGTTACATATTGATATATGTACTTATATATATTTGTACAAGAAGTTTTAAATAAAATATAAAAAAAATAAAAAATATATCATGACGAAGGTAATATTAAAGGTAACTATGAATATTCTGAATATTCAGCAAGATGGTTACAAAAATTTAAGGAAGGACAGGCCATTAAATATTTGAAGATTAGTGTTGATAAAACATGTGTTGATGACGAAGCTTAAATCTAGCTAAATTTACGTGAAACAATGATAAAAAACGCGCCAGAATACAGGCGATTATTCTGGATCTGTTAAATCCTAGTCCTGAGTTTAAAAGATTCTTACATTCAGAACTGTAAGCAAAATGTTCTTCGCAGAATTTATTTATATGGTGAACTACTGGCAATGAACAATGTTCAGCAAAGAACAAAGTTATATTACCTCTTTTATTCTCACATTGTCACTTAGTTTTCCTAACTGATGTGTTCATTGTTTTTGTGTACTGAAAGTTGCTTCTGTTTTTTGTGTTTGGTAATATTTTGTGTCTTTCAGTGTGACTCAGTTTAGCTGCAAGTGAACATTTGCTGGACACTGTGACTCGTATGAGTCGTGTTCAGTACGTGAACTGGACCTAACTGGCTGTCTTGGACACTGTGACTCGTATGAGTCGTGTTCTGTACGTGAACTGGACCTAACTGGCTGTCTTGGACACTGTGACTCGTATGAGTCGTGTTCTGTACGTGAACTGGACCTAACTGGCTGTCTTGGACACTGTGACTCGTATGAGTCGTGTTCTGTACGTGAACTGGACCTAACTGGCTGTCTTGGACACTGTGACTCGTATGAGTCGTGTTCAGTACGTGAACTGGACCTAACTGGCTGTCTTGGACACTGTGACTCGTATGAGTCGTGTTCTGTACGTGAACTGGACCTAACTGGCAGTCTTGGACACTGTGACTCGTATGAGTCGTGTTCAGTACGTGAACTGGACCTAACTGGCTGTCTTGGACGCTGTGACTCGTATGAGTCGTGTTCAGTACGTGAACTGGACCTAACTGGCTGTCTTGGACGCTGTGACTCGTATGAGTCGTGTTCAGTACGTGAACTGGACCTAACTGGCTGTCTTGGACACTGTGACTCGTATGAGTCGTGTTCAGTACGTGAACTGGACCTAACTGGCTGTCTTGGACAACTGTGACTCGTATGAGTCGTGTTCAGTACGTGAACTGGACCTAACTGGCTGTCTTGGACACTGTGACTCGTATGAGTCGTGTTCAGTACGTGAACTGGACCTAACTGGCTGTCTTGGACACTGTGACTCGTATGAGTCGTGTTCAGTACGTGAACTGGACCTAACTGGCTGTCTTGGACACTGTGACTCGTATGAGTCGTGTTCAGTACGTGAACTGGACCTAACTGGCTGTCTTGGACACTGTGACTCGTATGAGTCGTGTTCAGTACGTGAACTGGACCTAACTGGCTGTCTTGGACACTGTGACTCGTATGAGTCGTGTTCAGTATGTGAAATGGACCTAACTGGCTGGCTTGGACACTGTGACTCGTATGTGTCGTGTTCAGTACGTGAACTGGACCTAACTGGCTGTCTTCTCTTTCTACTCACACTCTCGAAACCCAACACATTTCCGGTCCCAAGAATTCGAATAAAGGGATCTCATCTTACCAATTATCATACACAGTAACATTCGTGTAAAATTACCTAGGATAATTACCATAAAGTCAAAGTGACTTATTTCCATTTGGGTCCTGGTAATATCTTATTATTTAATAACAAGCTGTAAGAATACAGTAGAAATCAGTCACCTTATAACCATAATAATTAAACAGCTAATTAACTCACCTGTGTGAATATTAAATAGAGGATCAGTTTACATTTTAGGTATACGATTGTTAACTATACAAGATATCACTCTTCTCCCTTTCTGTAACTTCATTCTTTAGGTAATTTTTAATTCTGTTCGTGAACTGGGTCATGCTAGGACAGACTTTGTTATGTGCAGACAATTAGTTCCACTCCTTTGTTAAACCTTTGTTATGTCAAGGATCCCAGTGGAAATAAGCTACTTTTTCTCACTCTTTTTGGGTTTTCCTATGAATGAAAATTGTACTTATGTGTACCTATGCCTTAATGCATAGGTACACATAAATACAATTTTAAGTATTACTTTGGTAATACTTAAAATAATCCGACTCTATCCTAAATCGAGAAGCCAGAGATATTCACCTAGAAGTCAGAAACACATGTGTTTGCAACCTAATGCTCACTGAATTTGTGTCTGTATAAATTTAGCAGGAAATTTTTACCATTTTGCTCCATTTGCTACATCTGAAGTTACTCCACTAACGTTGATTGAGCACCCACCTACGTCCTCTTAGCACTCCCACTAGAGCTAATTACCACCTACCTCCATCACTTTAAAACCACAAAAAGAGCTAATCACCACCCACCTGCATTGCCTTAGCACTACCACAACAGCTAAATCACCACCAACCTACATTACCTTAACAAGAGAGTTAAGTACCACCCACCAACTTCACCTTAACACCTCCCGAGAGCTAATCACAACCAACTTGCATTAAACACCACCACAAGTGCTAATCACTACCCACCTGCACTAACTTCTTACAAACACCCTGACGACCATAGTCTGGGTGGACGCAGAAAATATCCATATACAGTACTTGCTTCACTGTTGGGTCCTGGAACAAGTCGACAGGACTCTTCGTAGTATTAAGTATCCGAGCCATTGTCACCTGTAGACATTATATAACACTGTTTATATGGTAAACTTATGATAATGTTTTATTAACAATATTATGACAACAGTACAGTGCCAGTACCACAACACGTGAGTCCCAGCACTGAGTGCCAGTACCACAACACGTGAGTCCCAGCACTGAGTGCCAGTACCACAAACAGTCCCAGCACTGAGTGCCAGTACCACAACACGTGAGTCCCAGCACTGAGTGACAGTACCACAACACGTGAGTCCCAGCACTGAGTGACAGTACCACAACACGTGAGTCCCAGCACTGAGTGACAGTACCACAACACGTGAGTCCCAGCACTGAGTGACAGTACCACAACACGTGAGTCCCAGCACTGAGTGACAGTACCACAACACGTGAGTCCCAGCACTGAGTGACAGTACCACAACACGTGAGTCCCAGCACTGAGTGACAGTACCACAACACGTGAGTCCCAGCACTGAGTGACAGTACCATAACACGTGAGTCACAGTACCACAACACCTGAGTGAAACTAACACAACACGTGAGTCACAGTACCACAGCATCTGAGTGAGAGTACCACAACACGTGAGTGACAGCACCACAACACCTGAGTGACAGTACCACAATACGTGGGTCAGTACCACAACACCTGAGTGAGAGTACCACAACATGTGAGTGACAGTACCACAACACCTGAGTGAGAGTACCACAACATGTGAGGCGTACCCAAAAACCCTAGTGACAGTACCCAACATGTGAGTGCAGTACCACAAACCTGAGTAAGACCACAACGTGAGTGACAGTACCAAACACCTGATGAGAGTACCACAAATGTGAGGACAGTACCAAAACACCTGAGTGAGAGCCCCAAACTTGAGTGCAGTACCAAAAACCCCTGAGTAGGTCCCAAACATGTGATGAAAAACCCCAACACCGAGTGACAGTCCACAACATGTGAGTGACAGTACCACAAAAACTGAGGACAGTACCAACAGTGAGGACAAACCACAACACGGAGTGAAGTCCACAAAAGTGAGTACGCCCCCCAACACTTGAGTGAAGTACCACAACAGAGTGACAGTACCACAAAAAGTAGCACAGAAAACCACAACACGGAGTACATACCACAACATGTGAGAATACCAACACCGATGAATTCACAAACGTGAGGACGTACCAAACACTGAGTACAGTCCCCAAAACACCTGTGAGTACGAAACCCAAACTGAGTGAAAGTACCACAACACCGAGTGACAGTACCCCAAACACCCGAGTACAGTACCACAACACTGAGTCCAGTACCAAAACACCTGAATGAGAATACTAAAAACCCCTTTATGAGAGTACACACGTGAGGAAGTACCAAACCCCTGAGTAGAAAACTGACACCCCTGATGAGAGTACAAACCCTAAGGACAGTACCAAACACTGAGTCACAGGCCCCGCAAAAACTGATGAATCCCCACAACACCTGGTGAAGTCCAAAAACAGATGAAGTACCACAACACTGAGTAAATCCCTAACCCCTAATGAAAATATACAACACTGAGGACATACAAAACGTGAGTCACAGCACCCAACCCCTGATGAAAAACACAAAACCGAGTGACAGTCCACAACACCGAGTGACAGTACCACAACCCCCGAGTACAGTACCACAACACCCGATGACAGTACCACAACCCCCGAGTACAGCCCACAACACCTGAGGGACAAAAAACCCAGGACAGTACCACAACACCGAGGACAGTACCAAAACCCCCGAGTGCCCACAACCCCGAGTGACAGTACCACAACACGGAGTGACAGCACCACAAAAAACCCAGTACATCCCACAACACGAGTGACGTACCCAAAAACCTGAGGTCCAAAACCCTTTGAGGGGCATACCCAACGTTGAGGACAGACCACAACACCGGTAAAGTACCAACACCTAGTGACAGACCACAACACCGAGGACAGTCCCCAGCACCCTTAAGGACAGTACCACAACCCCTATGAAGTCCCAAACCTTAGTGACAGTACAAACACCACATCCCACAACACCTTATGACAGTCCCAAAACCCCCTTAGTGCGTCCCCCCAAAACGGTAAAAGTGACAGTCCCACAACACCTAGTGACAGTCCCACAAAACCTTAGTGACAGTCCACAACAGGTGGTGAAGTACCAAAAACCTAGTGACAGTCCCACAACATGGTGACAGTACCACAACATGTGACAGTCCCACAAACCCCTTTAGTGCACCCCAAACGGGTGAGTGACAGTCCCACAAACCGGTTGACAGCCCCAAAACACCTTTTGTGACAGCCCCCAAATAGTGACAGTACCACAACCCCAGAAAATGTGACAGTCCCCAACCCCTTTATGCAGTCCCACAACCCCTTAGTGACATCCCAACACATTAGTGACAGTCCCACAAATAGTGACGTAACCCAAACAAAAAACCGGGGTGACAGTCCCCCCCCAAAAACCCAAAACCTTAGTGACAGTACCACAACGGGTGAGTGACAGTCCACAATACCTGAGTGACGTCCCACAAAGTGAGTACATCCCACAACACCTGAGTGACAGTCCAAAAACCCCTTTAGGAAAGTACCACAACAGGTGGTGACAGTACCACAATCCTGGTGAAGTCCCACAACAGGTGAGTGACAGTACCCCAACACGTGAGGACAGTACCACAAAAGGTAGTACAGTCCCACAACGGGTGAGTGACAGTACCACAACACCGAGGACAGTCCCCACAACAGGGAGTGACGTACCACTACCGGGTGACAGTACCACAAAAGGTGAGTGAAAGTCCCCAAACAACCCCCTGAGTGACTCCCAAAACCTGAGTGCAGTACCACAAACCTAAATGACTACCACAACATGAGTGACGTACCCAACACCTGGGACAGTCCCACAACAGGTGTGCCCAGTACAAAATCCCTGAGTGAGAAAACAACCCCTGTTTGACAGATTAAAACCCCTAATGACAACAAAAACACGGTGAAGGCACGAAGCCCCTTGTGACAATACAATCTAAAATAACAGTCCAAAACACCTGAGGTACAGTAATATAATATATGAGTGACAGAACCACAGCTCCTGAGTGAGAACAGCAGAACATCTGACAAACAGTACTAAAATACCTGAGGGTCAGTACAAAACATGGGTGACGTTAGCACAACACCTGAGTGAGACAAGCATAACACCTGGAAGCCAGTACAACACCTGAATTACAATACAACACCTATGAGTCAGCAAAACAGCAAGGAGGAAATACAACAACATCTGAGGGAGTACAAAACAACACCTGAGTGTCAGTACTATAACACCTAGGTCACAGTACCACAACACCTGAGTGACAGTACCACAACACCCGAGTGACAGTACCACAACACCCAAGTGACAGTACCACAACACCCGAGTGACAGTACCACAACACCCGAGTGACAGTACCACAACACCCGAGTGACAGTACCACAACACCCGAGTGACAGTACCACAACACCTGAGTGACAGTACCACAACACCCGAGTGACAGTACCACAACACCTGATTGACAGTACCACAACACCTGATTGACAGTACCACAACACCTGAGTGACAGTACCACAACACCCGAGTGACAGTACCACAACACCCGAGTGACAGTACCACAACACCTGAGTGACAGTACCACAACACCTGAGTGACAGTACCACAACACCTGAGTGACAGTACCACAACACCTGAGTGACAGTACCACAACACCCGAGTAACAGTAGCACAACACCCGAGTGACAGTACCACAACACCTGAGTGACAGTACCACAACACCCGAGTGACAGTACCACAACACCTGATTGACAGTACCACAACACCTGATTGACAGTACCACAACACCTGAGTGACAGTACCACAACACCTGAGTGACAGTACCACAACACCTGAGTGACAGTACAACAACACCTGAGTGACAGTACCACAACACCTGATTGACAGTACCACAACACCTGATTGACAGTACCACAACACCTGATTGACAGTACCACAACACCTGATTGACAGTACCACAACACCTGATTGACAGTACCACAACACCTGATTGACAGTAGTATAACACCTGAGTGGCAGTATATCACCTGACTACCAGTACATCACCTTATTAACAGACAGCACCTGACTACCAGTACATCACTTGACCACCAGGACAGCACCTGACTACCGGTACATCACCTTACTAACTGACAGCACCTGACTACCAGTACATCACTTGACCACCAGTACAGCACCTGACTACCAGTACATCACCTTACTAACAGGTAGCACCTGACTACCAGTACATCACTTAACCACCAGTACAGCACCTGACTACCAGTACATCACTTGACCACCAGTACAGCACCTGACTACCAGTACATCACCTTATTAACAGACAGCACCTGACTACCAGTACATCACTTGACCACCAGAACAGCACCTGGCTACCAGTACATCACTTAACCACCAGTACAGCACCTGACTACCAGTACATCACTTGACCACCAGTACAGCACCTGACTACCTGTACATCACCTTACTAACAGACAGCACCTGACTACAAGTTCATCACTTGACCACCAGTACAGCACCTGACTACCAGTACATCACCTTACTAACAGGCAGCACCTGACTACAAGTACATCTCTTGACCACCAGTACAGCACCTGACTATCAGTACATCACTTTACTAACAGACAGCACCTGACTTCCAGTACATCACTTGACCACCAGTACAGCACCTGACTACCAGTACAGCACCTGACTACCAGTACAGCACCTGACTACCAGTACAGCACCTGACTACCAGTACAGCACCTGACTACAAGTACAGCACCTGACTACCAGTACACCACCTGACTACCAGTACATCACCTGACTACCAGTACAGCACCTGACTACCAGTAAAGCACCTGACTACCAGTACATCTGACTACCAGTACACCACCTGACTACCAGTACACCACCTGACTACCAGTACAGCACCTGACTACCAGTACAGCACCTGACTACC